CGGTTCCATCGGTTCCAAGGAACCGGAACCGAAAAAAACCGGAACCGGTGCATCCCTATGCATGGTGAGCCTCATCAATCTAGATTACCTAATTGATGATTCTCCTTATAGATATCTATTAACTACTCAATGTTGGTGCTTATTATTATAAATGATAGTACGCGCGTGAAAATATCGGGAAAGAATAAATGCGTATGTTTTGGAAAATTCTAATCTAGAAAACGTTCGTTGGGTAACAGTAAAAATTGTGGGTATGGGTGGATGAATGGTGCAGATAAAGCAAAAAATCAAAATCACACTCAAACGTACTCCCACTAGGGGTGCACTAAATCCAAATCCAGTCAAATACAATTCCTGGATTAGACTGGATTTGGATTTGGATTTGACTGGATTTGACTTGGATTTCGATTTCGATTTGACTGGATTTGGGTTTGACTTGAATTTGGATTTGACCATATATACCTCCTACAAGGATTGCATTTTTTCGGTATCAAAACTCATCAAACCCGGTCAAATCTTCGTGTCCATTAAATGCAGTTTTCTTCGCTCTATCCAATGGTGGTATCAAATTTCGTCTACTCTTTCAAAAAGTTTCAAGATTTGACAGGTTTTTATGCAAATTTTTGAGTTTTATTCACGTTTTTGATCAAACCCTGTCAAATCTTGAAACTTTTTGGAAGAGTAGACAAAATCTGATACCACCATTGGATAGAGCGAAGAAAACTACATCTAATGGACACGAAGATTTGACCGGGTTTGATGAGTTTTGGTACCGAAAAAATGCAATCTTCGTAGGAGGTATATATAGTCAAATCCAGTCAAATCCAAATCCAAGTCAAACCCAAATCCGGCCAAATCCCAATCCAAATCCAAGTCAGACCCAGTCAAATCCCAATCCAAACCCAAGTCAAATCCAAATCCGATTCTAGAATTGGATTTGGATTTGACTAGAATTGGATTTGGTGCATCCCTAGTATTATAGCGAACAGCGGAACGTTCTTAGCCAAACGAATAAATAAGAAATTCTCGATGGTATTCATTATGGCATATACTTTCCAGCAAAGCAGAGCGATCCTGTCATCGCTTACTAGAATTTGAACAGTCTTTATGCGAGAATTCATGAAGCTTAAGGTATTTTGCGAGACTATCATTGATGTCGTGCAATGGAGTGGAGCATTTAGCTAACCAACGAAACCATAATCGGCTATCTATAATATCAAAACATTTCGTATTTATTATGCAAAGCTTCTGACAATTTTGCAAGTCTAACATAATGGTTTCATATATATTGTACGAAACCTACAATCATTCCGTATATACAATACGAAACCGCCGTTAGTGTCGTAAGGGAATAAATGGTTTCGTATAACTTGTACGGAACTGTTGGTGGCTTTACAAGCTGTATTATGGTTCCGTATACATTATACGATACTAGTGGTAGTTCTGTATCATATCTAAAGGTTCCGAATATGAAACACGAAACTAGGGGTGATGTATTAGAATTAGCATTGGTATTTATTAATACTAATACTAATGCTTTAAGCATTAGTATTAAAATTAACCTTAATGCTTTAGCATTATTAGCATTAGAATTAATTAATGCTTTAGTATTAGCATTAAATTAGCATCATTTTTAATTCTAATACATATACTCTATATAACTTTCTGAGCACTATATCGACACTAGACTTTCAACTTTTCAGGAGACTGCCTAGGTATGTTATCTTTAACTTTTCGGGGACTACCTCGACGTTCTACCTATAACTTTTTCGGGACTATCTGGATATTCCCTCGACTGAAGGGAGGGTCATATAAAAAAGATGCGTCTGTTGGTTTGTGTCAGGGTCAAAGGTCAAACGTCAAAAAAATATCGCCTTAAAAATTCAATGGTAGACGTTTTTCTCAATCCTGAAAGGATAGAGTCTTCACAATAGAAAAATTCGTATGTTTGTCCGATTTCTGATTGGTCAAAAAATGTGCCAATCAGATTTCAGGAGGACTTTTCTTTCTTGTTACCAGGACAAATGCTAGTCATTTTCGGGCCGACCCTAGGGTTATCGAGGATGCTCCATCGATTGATGGGTATATGCAGCGGTCCCCACCCATCCCATCATTGAGAAATAGGATCCTGCCATTTGATTGGTCCGAAAATAGACCAATCAGATTTCAGGAACGTCTTTTTCTCTTATTGAAAGGGCAACACATAGCCATGTTCGGGCTAATCATAGGGTTATCGAGGATACTCCATCGATTGATGGGTATATGTAGCGGTCCCCACCACTATTCTTACTATTAAAATAATCCGTCTTCAGATGTTGATATGTTTGTTCACGCTCTAATTAGTTGAGCGAAATCAGCCCATGAAATTTTTGCATTAATCAAACACAGGAAACTGCAGGATTTTGGTATTCGGTATTGAGTCAATCATAGATTTTCGATATCTGGCTGTCAACATATCATGCTTTTGAATGTAGAAAAACCAGCTAGTTAGGATGCAGGTTTGTAGATATGAGTCCAAAGTTGCTGTGGATGTGTGGGCGGATGTGAGTTGGTTATTGGTGTGTGGTTTGGATGAGGGCTTGTGGTATGGTTGGTGATGGGTGTTGGCCTTGCTCTGGGTTTCGGTGTTTGAGTCATACGGATGTGTTTGGCGTGAGTATTGGCGGATAGCAGATGTGGAATCCTGGTTGTAGATGTAAGTCAATGTGGTTGGGCCTAGCTGTGGGTGTGGAATGTTGGTCTGTGTCTAAGCCTCGGTCTCCGTCTAGATGTTTGTGTGGACATGAATGTCTTGAATGTTAGTATTGGCAAGAAGCAAGTGTGAGTTGGACTCCGTTATGGATGAGGGTGGTGGTTTTCAATCTTGAAAGGTTGAGTCTACACAATGGAAGTTCGTCTATTTGTCCGGTGTTCCATTAATCGAAAAACGAACCAATAGGATTTCGAGTTTCGGAAAGTAAACGAATAGGAAAAATCTGAGGTAAAAAGTTGACCAAAAGGATTTCGACTTTCGGAAAGTCACCCAATCAGAAGAATTTCGGGTCTGCGTATCAACGATTACAAATGGATTCTTTCAATGTCAGCGGTTGAGATTTTTCATGAATTATGCTAGAGTGCGAAAAGAACTAAAGATTTTACATTTTCTCTGGGTTGTGGATACCTGAAAGTTCAGATCGGTTTTCTCTGTCGCAGTGGTTTTTGCCGGTACTATTATAGATATGTGTATGTTTGGAGGATTGGGTATGCCGAATTTCAGGTTGGCTTCTCTCGGTGTTGCATTTGTTGGTCGGGAACGAAATGATCTCGTGCTATGAATGTGGGCATCCAGCAATGAGAACGGTGCGTATTGTTTGAACGGTTGCTGTGGTTCAGGTCGAGTTCACAATCATTACCATAGTGCGATAGTTGTATTGTGGGTTTAATTTTGTGTGGATGATTTGGGTTAAAGTTCTTATATGGCTATCGTGCCGTTTTTGGTATAGGGTGTGACTGTCCGTACTTTTCCGAAAAGTGGTTAATATTTAGAATGCTGCTTTCTCGGGTTGCCTGTCTGAAACAAGAGTTGAGAAGTGTTACTGATAATTGTGAAAGAAAGTTTCGTTGCCAAAAAAATGGAAATTTAGTGCGAAATTTTTTCATGACGGCCAAAAAAAATGTCAGTGAAAGTAACTTGGTCAGTTTCGGCTAAGTTTCATTCAGATATTGGTAACGAAAAGTTCTCTACCTATGAAAACATCAGATAAAGTCTGAAACTTCAGGACGACTCGTCAATCTCTGCTGAGAAGATAGAACAAAACACCTTGCACGGAATCTTCAGTGTCCTTTCTTTCAACAACAATCGAAAACCTGTGTCTTAGATGTAACCGAATGTGAGTTTGAGAATAGTTGTGGTGCCAAGGGAGAGATACTCGTGTACATGCGGGTACATATCACGATCTGTGTCCCACGGCTACGTGTGCGGATGTTTCCGTCGTTCGTATGGATAAGATGACTTTTCTGGATTTGCATGTAAAGTGCTGTGTGCGTCTGTATAGAATTCTTTGGGTAGCTGTAGTTATTACTATTGACTATCAATATATATACTTAGGTCTAACCAAAAGTTCCCAGAATATTAAATAAAAATATAAGGATACAGAGATATTTTCAATTTTATTTTATCAAATGTTGAGGATATTTGCCATGATTATTTATATCAAGGTCAATCCTTTCTAACAATTTATTAAAAGTTTTTTTGAAGTCCTTTTCGAAAAAAATTTTAGCTGCCTTGGAAACCACATGAGCTAATCATATTTCATTTGTTTTAAAAATTGAATGGAATTTTGTCCTTGAATATCAGTTGCATTCTAGTATTGCTAGAAATGGAATATGGATTTATTTTAGATCGGTCCGTCATAAGTCATCTGATACTAACTGGCTTATTGAAGATGAATTGTCTAAGGCTATTGTTCATGGAGACAGATGTGAAGCAAAACTTTGTTTAGTATATCCATTAAATCAAATAGTCCTGAGTGTAGATAAAGGCAAGACTGTAGATCACAAGTACTATATTGAAAATTATCTGAACCCTTTTGTTAATGAAATATGGAAACAAACATAGACACCAGGTTCAGAATGTACAAAATTGCTTAAAGATGATCGTTGACTTCATACTCATTTAATCTTAATAATTATTTGACAGAATAAGACATCAATATAATGCCATAGTAGTCACAGTCGCCAAGCCTGGTACTATGTAATTTGTGACTAAGTAATTTTATCAAATGTAGTTTAACTGATTAAATAAATGAAATATGAATAGCTCATGTGGTTTCCAAGGCAGCTAAAAAGTTTTTCGAAAGACTTCAAAAAACTTTTAATAAATTGTTAGAAAGGATTGACCTTGATATATATAATCATGACAACTATCCTCAACATTTGATAAAATAAAATTGAAAATATCTCTGTATCTTTATATTTGTATTTAATATTCTAGGAACTTTTGGTCAGACCTACGTAGTACTATGAAGTTTAGCTGCCCTTTTCTGCATCGACGTATTAAGTGTGAGCTAGCGCTATGGATTTGGAACCTTGTTGGTCTGTGTGTGTGAAGATATGTGAGGGTTGACGTGTAGATGCTCACGCTTGGAGATGAAGATGGAAGTCTGACAGCATTTGACGAAACAGATGTACGCCGTGAGGGTTGCCTATAGAATTGCACGAGTTTGAAAGTGTACTAGAAGATGAGTATTGGTGTGAAGAGGTGTGAGATAGTGATGTGAATATGGACAGGTTTCGGGAGAACGATGTGGATATGGATAAGTCTGTACATAGACATGTTGTTAATTAAGACTTTCGATACAGCTGTGACTATTAAGACGAATATGAAGATGAGTATGCGAATGTATGTGGTTGGATGGAATATGGATGGGGATCTAAGAGATATGAAAACAGGGATATGGATGTGGGGAGAGGTTTGAAGATAAGAATGAGTGGAGGGATGTGTTAGGATAACGTTCATGATCGTGAAGGATTGTGAGTATAAGGACGATGATTGTGATGAG